CGGCTCACACACAAGTTACCCCGGGAGCAGTTTCTCCCTGTTCCACCCTCACTGGGCACTATTGGTCGCACTGGTGTGCATGCTTGTGGGCATGAGGCGGTATTTCTTACTGTGAATGAGTAAAACAGCATGGATGTTTTCAGTATCAGTCTCCTGTGAATCTTAATAGCGGAGGTTAGTGTCCTTGAGTCCAGTCAACCTGCGGACACTGAAAAGCTAGACTTTCTACTTTAAAAGGCTAAAAGGCAGATTCTGAACCATGGTGAATTTGCCTTGATCGATCCTCTCAATGGGGGCTTTATAGATGGACACCCCACTATGCCTAGCGTCTTCGTTACTCCCCCAGCCTTCCCAGGGCAACGCACAGCTTTCTCTCAAACTTCAGCCCCTACCTCACTGAATGCCAAATCATTCTGTAAATTGTGAAGTCCTATAAAATGCAAGGTATTATGAACATTACCGTTATTATTATTATTACTAGATTCTTACTGACACCAAATTCACATAGAGTAACTCTAGGGTGTCACAAAAGACCACTATGTACATATTTTGAACAAGCACCCAAAGGTCCTAAAAAGAGGCTACTTTTTTTTTTAAGATTTTATTTGACACAGAGAGCCCAAGTAGGGGGGAGGGGCAGAGAGAGAGGGAGAAGCAGGCTCCCCGCTGAGCAGGGAGCCCCATGCAGGGTTCAATCCTAGGACCCTGGGATCATGACCCGAGCCAAACGCAGACACTCAACCAGCTAAGCCACGCAGGTTCCCCAAGATTTTTTACTTTTAAGTCATCTCTTTTAAGTCATCTCAAGCCAATTGTGGGGCTTGAACACACAACTCCAAGATCAAGAGTCACAGGAGCGCCTGGGTGGCTCAGTCAGTTGAGTGTCAGACGCTTGGTTTAGGCTCAGGTGTGGTCTCAGCAACCCGCGCCCCGTTAGCTCCGTGTTCGGCGGGGGGTCTGCTGGAGGTTCCCTCTCAGTCCTGTCTCTCCTTCTGTCCTCCTCACTCACGCGCGCGCTCTCTCTCTCTCTCTGTAAAAATGAATAAATAAAACTTAAAAGAAAACCTGAGTCACATGCTTCACCCACTGAGCCAGCTAGGCGCCCTAAAAATCTCCTTTTTAAACTCACTTTACATAGTTCATTATTCTTCTTTTATCATTCTTTTTTTTGGAACAAACACTTTTAAACAGGCCTTTGATTACTGCTTGGCCTTAAAGACTTTTGAATTGCATTCGTAAATTTAATGCTTTTCTTTTTAAGTACTTCAATTGTTTGACTCACAGAGCTTTCCAAGTATTTCCAGAGTTCTTATAATCTAATAAGTGAAGTGTCTAAATATGGAAATTCTTAGGTTCTCAATATGTTTACAAACCGAGGCCATATTGTAGTTATAATATTTAGTCACCAAAAAAATCTAAATCAAGTAAGCAATTATGTAACTTAAATTGGAATCTCAAGGTTAATCTTTTTTTTTAATAGTTTTTTTTTTTTTAGTATTTTATTTATTTATTTGAGAGAGCGAGAATGAGAGAGAGAGAGAGCACATGAGAGGGTGGAGGGTCAGAGGGAGAAGCAGACTCCCTGCTGAGCAGGGAGCCCGATGTGGGACTCGATCCCGGGACTCCAGGATCATGACCTGAGCCGAAGGCAGTCGCTTAACCAACTGAGCCACCCAGGCACCCTCAAGGTTAATCTTTTAGATATTCTTTTTTTCCAAGTTTTTATTTAAATTCCAGTCAGTTAACATACAGTGAGTATATGCAATATTAGTTTCAAGTGTAGAATTTAGTGATTCATCATGTCCATACAACACCTGGTGCTCATCACAAGTGCCCTCCTCGATGCCCATCACCTGTTGCAGCTGTTGCCCCACCCCCTCCCCTAATCTTTTCCACATTCTAATATTCCCCACTATTCTCTAATATATTAAACTCTTTAAGTATTACAAATACTTGAGATACCAAATGTACAAAGATTATTCCTATGTTTAACACTAATATAATAACTTCTACTACTGCATTTTGTCTAGAGTAAATTCTAAATCTTCCTGTTATTACATTGAGTAAGTCTGAGTTTTGGAGCTCTTATTGCAGGTGAATGAGATTTTAAGTTGAACAAATATTTTGCTTGAGACAGGGGGCTCTGGAGCTACGGACACCCCAGAAGATTGTTGTTATCCCCAGGCTAGCAGGTGGAGCCCTTTTACCAGCTATTAAGCCAATAAAGAACTTCAAGTGCACGTCCTGTTAATGGGATAGCCTCTCCCCTATTCCACAGGGTTCAAGGTATGTAACAGCTAATTCTTACTACTGATGATTTTGCAATTTCAGCCAGGTGGTCACTTGGCTGAGCTCAAGCAATCAGTGTACTGCTTCATTCCATTTTTTTTATTCTTTTGGGGGCACCTGGCTGGCTCAGTCAGTAGAGCATGTGACTCTTGATCTCGGGGTTATAAGTTTGAGCCCACACTGGGTGTAGAGAATACTTAAAAATAAAATCTTAGGGGCACCTGGGTGGCTCAATCAGTTAAGCGTCTGACTCTTGATCTTGGCTCAAGATCAATGTGTACAACAGAGCTCGCTCATCATCTTTCTCCCCAGATCGGCTTCTTCCCTTGAATTTTTTTTTAATCTCAGAGATTAAAAAAAATGGGCCCCCTACCTTTGACCCAGGGCCCTGTCCCCTGCCAGGCCGGATGGCAGGGAGTCATGATGGACTCCTTCCCTCCTTCTCTCCCTCAATCTCAGTGTTCTGTCACCACCTCTTGCTAAGGGTCTCCCCACTATCTCTCCTGTCCGCATCCCCATCTCATCCCCACTGGTTATTTACCCTGATTTCGGCCCAAACCACAGCGTTTGCTTCTCATCGACACACCTTTGGGGTTACCCCTTCTCGGAGTGGTCAGTGTCGCCTTCCAACACCCAAGTCTGACCATGTCTCCTGCTGTTTAGAATTCCGATGTGTCTCCACATGTAGTTGAGACAAGGAGCATCTTGATTTGGCCCCTGCCCAGCTGTCCTGCCTCAACTCCTTCCACCTGCTGCATTGGCAGGTACCTGCTCATAAAGCTCAACAGCTGCTGGTCACTACATCCTCACGTCCCTTCCATTTCTCCGAGCGTTGTGTGCGCCTTCCTCTGGCCCAGCATCCCCTTTTCTGCACCCTCGCCCAACCCTCCATGTGTTCCAGGCTCAGCTCAAAAGCTCCCTCCTCTGAGAACACCACTGTCCTGAGATACAGCTGCTCTTCCATCTCTATTTCCACTGCATCTTGTCCATGCCTCTGCTCCAGTGTCATTCTCCAGATCTCCCTAAGCTCCTGGATGGCGGGGCAGCTTCTTCGAAACTTTAAATGCCCAGAGCCAGTCTAGGGCAAAGCCTGGTGAATGATCAATAAATGTGTGTTGAAGGAACAAATATTTTAATAAGGAACATTTTCCCTGTCTGGGAGCTCCCATCTAGGAAGGAGGATGGACTTACAGACAACCTCTATCTGACAGCTGGCTCGCGGGGATGGAGGGCTCTGACCCTCTTCAAGAGTCTGGGGAGGAAAAGGAATCAGGTGCACTCCTCATTCACAACACCATGCTGGAAAAAGAAATTGAAGTCTTGGCCGCTGAGCATGATGAGAATGTGTGGTTACTGAAGAGGCGAATTGCACTGGTCTGGGCTTTCAAGCAGGGGCTCTTTGGGGGTAAGGGGGGTTTCAGGTGGGTTTTGACTTTCACTTTTCACAGGAGCTAGTGGAAGGGAGCTTGCCTCTCTGGCTCCTTCCTCCAGGCTCTTCCCACCCTGGAGGGTCACCCTCCAGAGGGTGACTGATTCAGATTTGGGAGGAGGCCCACTGGTTGCCTTCTTAAACGTTCCCAGAACAGTGCCCCAATTTAAGGAACGGTTTTTTTTGAGAAATAAACCATCTCAAACCTGAACTTGTCTAAGAAAATCCCCTGCTCACTGAAGAACCTGCGGGAATGGAGCTGGTAAAGATGAACAAAGCTGCACATTAGTTAAAGCAATGAAAACAAATTTTATTCAGCAATTAGTGAATTAGGGGAAAAAGCTGAGCTCCAGTTCCATTTGTGCAGAGGTGACTGGGCCCGTTAAAGGGACAATGGCGTGCAGGTGGGGAGCTCAAGTGAAAAATGACAAAAGCTTGGTCGGTAGGAACGTGGTCAGGCCCGCGGCCCCTGCTGGCTGCCAATGACTGAAGCTAGGATTCCGCCCTCCCGCAGAGGGGACACAAGCCCTGTCCCTCTGCGAAGAAATGGCTCTCAGGTCCTTGAGAAAGACAATTCTGAGTTGCAGAAGATATGTACACATCTCAGAGGGCCAGAGGAAGGATTCCTCTGTGAGCCCTTCTGAGAGCGTGCTCTAGGGGGAGGTCAGGGCTCCATCCCCAGATGGTGGCCAGAGCAAGCCGTGCAGTGTCCGGCAGCAGCGAGCTCTCCCAGGCAGGCGTTTTACTGGAGGTGTGTGTGTGGGGGGGGGGGGGGGGAGGGGGGGGGATAGGGGACGGGGCTGGGGTCATCCCGGGCACCCGGCCAGAAGCCACGCTGGCCTCGGCTCTTCTCTCAGTGCAGACGTTTCCACCGAGCGGCTTATGGGCCCCAAATGCTGCAAGTCTCAGAGAGATCGGCCAGGGCAAGTAGTTCCTACACGTTGTAACGCCTACCGTCCTGCCGCCCAGGAGCCGCTTTCCGGTTCGGCTCGGAGCGCGCGATCCGGCAGCCGGGGGGCCGCGTCCGGGACGGTGGCGGCGCAGGAGGAGGGCGCTAGCGCGGGGCCGGCTACCAACCCGGAGAAAGCGGGCGGTGAGGGGAGGGCTGGCCCGGGCCCTCTCCGCCCCACATCCGGTTACGGCGCGGCCGCGGGCCATCCGCGCTCGGGCCGCCGGGAGGGCAGGACCCGCCCCGAGCCGCCGCGCCTCCTCCCGCGCGCCGCCAGCCTTAAGCGCCTCCGCGCCCCCCGCCGCCCGCGCCCCCCGCCCCGCCCGCTCGGCCATGGGTGCCCCGGGCTCGTCGGCTCTGCGCAGCCTCGGCCTCCCCGCGCCGTCCCGGCCCGCCTGGCTCGGGGCGGCCGCGCTGGGACTGGCCGCCGTGGCGCTGGGGACGGTGGCCTGGCGCCGCGCGCGCTCCAGGCGGCGCCGGCGGCTGCAACAGGTGGGCACCGTGGCGCAGCTCTGGATCTACCCGGTCAAGTCGTGCAAGGGGGTGCCGGTGAGCGCGGCGGAGTGCACGGCCTTGGGGCTGCGCTGCGGCCACCTGCGGGACAGGTAGGGCCGGGCCGGGCCGCGGCTGCGCAGGACCTGCCCGGGACGGGGTGGGGCGGGGGCCGCTCGCGGGAAGGGATCTAGAGGTTTGCCTCTTGCGTTTCCTGGATTGTTGGTTGGATGCTTTGCCTTTGATCCTTTAGCTGGGAAGGTCAGTTCATGTCTGGTTCAGGTTTGGAAAATTAGGTAGGGGCAAACCCTACTTAAAACCTCTAGATGAGACTTTCCTCCTCTGTAGAAGGACGGGGTCTGACCTGGTTATCTTCAAGTCTCCTGCTAGTTCTAAACTTTCTGATTCTATCTTAGTCTACGGCACAGTAGTAGAAAATAAAATGCTGTGAGCACACGTGGGCAGAGAGCGGCAACGCTGAAAGCAAGTCTCGTTCGAGGACACTGGCTTTGGTCTTGCTGGAGTTTGCTCCTTCCACGTCTCTCTCCAGTCCTGGAGCAGGTGCCCAGGAGACTCGGGGTGAGGGGGGCGGAGACTTGATCCACTTTCATAAGTAATGAGCAGGGTGAAGTTTTGTGTTGGGAAGAGGGGATATCTGGGGCACTGCAAATGTAATATTTGCCATTAAGAGAATAGTGTGTCCCCTCTCCCCAGGAGCAGAGTGGTCCTTAATGAAGAATTCTGGGGAAAGTCTCTACCCACATAAGTCCCCGCATATGGAAATTCCATTCATCTCCCTCAGAAAAGAAAAGGTGTCCTGTCATTTAACTCATCCCAAAGGTCAGGCTACAGACATATATTCACGGACACAGAATTATGCAGCTGGATATCTGGAAGACTCACTTGATGGTGAAGAATGCAACATTCTAGAAAGAGTGAACAAGGAAGAACAGAATCCCCTTCTTTGGTTCGTTAGGGTTAAGATGCCTTCCTATCTGTCTGGGGTGGTTTTGTTGTGGTTCTTTGTATTCAGAGGGAGGGGACGTTTGCCAGGTGGTCATTCAAAGAATCTTCTAGCAGAGACTATCTGCTGCCCCGAGTTACTCCAGGACACATGTATTCACTCTTCTCAGCTGTCTTCTTTAAAAAATGTGGACTCTCACAGCTTTGAAAAACTTCAATTTGTTTTATTTTTTTTATTTTTATTTTTTTATTTTTTATTTTTTTTAAAGATTTTTTATAGTCGTGGGGGGGGGAGAGGGGGGGAGAGAGAGAGAGAGAGAGAGAGAGAAGCAGAGGGAGAAGCAGGCTCCCAAGGAGCAGGGAGCCCGATGCGGGGCTCGATCCCAGGACCTCGGGATCATGACCTGAGCCGAAGGCAGATGCTTAACCATCTGAGCCACCCAGGCGCCCAACTTCAATTTGTTTTAGAGAAATGTTGTGTATGCAGACCATGTAACTCTTGGGCATTTTCCATCCTCCGCTCCAGATATCTAATCCTGGACGGATTTTTGTGTTTTGTTTTTGCTTTTAGTAATCTCTGCCCCCAACGTGGGGCTAGAACTCAGGACCCTGACATCAAGGTCACATGCTCTACCAATTGAGCCAGCCAGGCGCCCCTAATCCCAGAGAGGTTTTTATTAGTTATTTATGTATGTATGTATGTATGTATTTATGTATGTATGTATGTATTTATTTAAATCTATACTTTATTCAGATTTTCTTGGTTTTCCCCTAATGTCCTTTTTCTATCCTGAGACCCTAACCAGGATACATTTGTAATTATATTTGGATGTTGTGACTCCTTGGGCTTCTCTAGACTATAATGCTTTCTCAAGCTTGTATTGTTTTTTGATGATCTTGAGAGTTTTGAGGAATCCTGAGTGGACATTTTGTAAAGTGTCCTTCAGTTTGGGTTTGTCTGATGTCTTCCTTATGGTTGACAGGGATTATGGGTTTTTAGGAAGAAGAGCACAGAAGTAAAGTTCCATTCTTCTTGTATCATATCAGGGGTACACAACTTATCAACAGAACTTTTTTTAAAGTTTTTATTTAAATTCCAGTTAGTTAACATACAGTGCAGTATTAGTTTCAGGCTTACAATACAGTGATTCAGCACTTCCATACAACACCCGGTGCTCATCATGACAAGTGCCCTCCTTAATCCCGATCACCTGTTTAACCCATCCCCCCCACACCCTCCCCTCTGGTGACTGTCAGTTCTCTATAGTTACGAGTCATTGTTTCTGAGAAACAAACTGAGGGTTCTAGAGGGGAGGGAGGTGGGGGGATAGGCTAGCCTGGTGATGGGTATTAAGGAGGGCACGTATTGAATGGAGCACTGGGTGTTATATACAAACAATGAATCACGGAACACTACATCAAAGAATAAATAGGAAAAAATATTAGGATTTTTAGGGAAAAAAAGAATTTAGAAAACAGACATGTATATAGAAAATTAAGATGTCATTTCAAATTAGATGTCTTTAAAAAAAGGGTGTATAGTGATATGTTACCCATTTCTTAAAATATTAAGTTAGATCTCTATTTCAAAACTTCAGATGGATTAAAAGCCTAAATGTAAAAAATAAAGCTATAAAATTAAAAAAAAAAAAGTCATTGTTTCTTGGGATGCCCGGGTGGCTCAGTTGGTTAGGTATCTGCCTTCGGCTCAGGTCATGATCCCAGGGTCCTGGGATCCAGCCCCGCATCGGGCTCCCCCTGCTCTGTGGGGAGCCTGCTTCTCCCTCTCCCTCTGCCTGCCACTCCGCCTTCCCTTGCTCTCTCTCTCTCTCTCTCTGTCAAATGAATAAATAAATTCTTAAAAAAAAGTCTTTCTTGATTTGTCTGTTTCTTTTTCCCTTTGCTCCTTTGTTTTGTTTCTTAAATCCCACCTATGAGTGAAATCATGTGGAATGTGTCTTCCTCTGAATGACTTATTTCAGGAGAGGAGTGAGTGACCAGAGGAACTGTAACATTTAATGAGCCACTGATTTTTAAAACTTGAATTTCCTGAGAGTCCCATCCCAGACTTATGGAATCAGAATCACCCAGAGTGAAGCCACCTTGTGTAGTATTAAAATCTCCCCAGGTCAGTCTGTTGCTATAATTAAAGGGTGGTATCTGGGGCCATTAAGAATGAGAAGAGCATGTTTAGAGCTTATTCAAGTATGAAGGATTAGAAAAGTCTTCCTACTGCTGGGAAAACTTTAGGCACAGGGGTACTGGACACCCTGCAAAAACCGGGAGAACCAAATTCTCATGGTGCACATCTAGAGAAAGTTACCTTGTGCTACTTCCTTCCCCACTTGAAGGATTGAAGTTATTTCTCAGAGAGATTTCCAGTTTTTTTTTTTAAAGATTTTATTTTTTTTATTTGAGAGAATGAGAGATAGAGAGCATGAGAGGGAAGAGGGTCAGAGGGGAAGCAGACTCCCTGCTGAGCAGGGAGCCCGATGTGGGACTCGATCCCAGGACTCCAGGATCATGACCTGAGCCGAAGGCAGTCGCTTAACCAACTGAGCCACCCAGGCGCCCAAGATTTCCAGTTCTTATCTGTGTCTCTTCTGATCATCTGAATGACTATTTTTCCACTTCTCATTGTCACTACTTTGCTGTGATTATTGCTTTTGTGGAAAGAAAGGATTTGTCCTTTGCTTTTCTGCTTCCATGGGTATCTTAAAATAAATGGAACTGTATCCACTAACCCTTGTTTTGAACACTAAATGCTTGGGATGGGGTGGTGGGGCATGGAGATTGGGAGGAGGCCGGGCAAGGCAGGGGGATGAACACGGATTCGGTGCCTCATGTGCCTCGGGCACTGAGCGGAATCCTGTCACATGGATGACCTTACACAAGCCTCAGCACCGTCCTGTGGGCTAGATGTTATCTCCACTCTGCAAGTAAAAAACAGCAGGATCAGAAAGGGTGAGTGTCTCACCCAAAGCAGTTATGTGCTGGAGGGGTGTGAACTCAGATCTCTGTGGGTACAGCAGTCATGCACTTTTTGTGAAGCCAGCGTGATTTAGAAGAGTGAGGACTGCACGGAGGATCAGGAGACCCACGCACAGTCATCTAAACTTTGAGCCTCATTTTTTTTCATTTACAAAAGAAAGGGCTTGGACTTGATGATCTCAGAGACCCTATTTCATCTAGGTCTTATTTATTAAAGGATAATTGAAACTCGGAAGCAAGCTAGAAAGAACTGTGCTAAATGACTGCTATTCTCTCAACTTAATAATGAAACTACAAACAGCCTGGAATGCAGGAAAAGGCCCCTTGGATTTAACTCCATGTCGAACCATTCTTTGGAACCATTCTAAGAAGCTGGGCTCTTTCTTCATAAGGGCTCTGTCCTCAGATTTCTAGAACTGTTTTGTCTAAAGCTCTTAACAAATTTGTGAATGTTTGGCTTGGGCACCCTGGACTTTGAGCTGGTTCAGAGTCCTCCTAGCAGAATGCTGCATCGCTTGATTGGCACAGAAGGTGGGAGGGTTGGCTGCCCTCCTTGACCTTGTAAATCCTGCTCTTCTTAGTGGGTCTATATTTGTCTCCATGGGTCCTAAATCTGCCCTAGCCCTTCCAAAGGCAGCCCTTGATGTTTTCTGCACCGACTATGATCTCCTGGAGAAATGAGTTCTCTAAGTTTATCATCCTGAGCACATTACCCTCTGGCTGTCTGTGGCAGGCTCCCTGCTCCCCTCTCCCCTTTTCAGGCTCCAGCACTTCTGCTTCCCAGACCAATTTCTGAGTTTAAACATGAGGTTTTCCAGCCGTCCTGGGCTCTGCTCCCCCACCCCCGTGAGAGCCCCCCCCACCCCCGTGATCACTCGGAGCACTGTTTTTCTTTTGGAGGACCTGAGCCCCGGCCTCTGCACTGATTCGCACACCGCACACTCCTGCTTTAGGGGTAAAAGAAAGTTTGGGGACAACTTGGTCGTGAAAAATCCACACTCCAGACTGACTTTCTTTCAGATCTGGCAGAACAGAGGTAATTATTCATTCACTGGGCATCATTTGTATGCAAGAGATGACAAATGCCATGACCCCACTGGGCAAGGTAATGAGAGTGGTCGGGGTCTGTTATAGGCAGCAACTTTTTATCTTTTATTGGTGTCTCTGTCCTATCCCAGTGTTAGACCACCTGCAAGCTGCCACTTGACTTTCCACTTGTAGCAGCTAGCACAAAACGTCCAGCCCCCCTCCCCTTCTCGCTGTTAAGGCCCAGGGGTTAACCCCTATGCTATTAAACAGCAGACTGGAGCTCAGGGCAGGGCGTGTAAGCCCCAGTGAAGGGCTGAGGTGGAGGTGGATGGGGACAAGGAGACTCAGCCCAGGGAGGGACTCAAGGTCAGAAATAACATGCAGATTCCTTTTGGGACATGTGTCTGGCTGGGTGCAGATCTCTGAGGGAGTCCCGTTGGGTACTAGGGCATTTTGGAAGTGTAGGGTGCAGGCTTTGGGAGGATGAAGCAGAGCAGGGTCATCCGGAACTCTGTACCCAGGGATGAGGCTGAAAATAGGAACAGGGCCCAGCCCCGAGGGAATGGGGCAGTAACAAAGTTACAGGAATGCCCTTGGTCACAGAACCCCGTAGGCGAGCAGGCCAGACAACCCTGGGAGGCAAAGGTGGCTTCTCAGAGAGATGGGGGCCTGCCACTGCCCAGCATCACCAGCCCTGGGGTGGGAAAAACCAAGACGATGCCCGAGGTGCCTTTGTACTGCCATACCTGCACCGCTGTCCCCTGACACCAACACACCTACGGGTTAGCGGGCCCGGTGGCAGGGACGGGACACCTCCCAGGGTATGGTGAAGGCCGAGACAGAGCTGCCTGTCCTCTGGAATCAGACAGCCTCATCAGCTTAGGGCAGGCGTTCCCACCTGGTTCCAGTCGTAGTTGGCAACTTCTCCCCTAGAGGAGGCGCCCCTCCTTCAGGAAGGGCCTGCGGTCGGTCCCTTCCATCCTGCTCCCGTTTGGGAAGCCCGGGCTTTCGGCAGCTTCTCGTAAGCCAATGCCTGCAGGCTTTGTCACGCGCTGCTCGTGTCCTGTCTCAGATGGTGGCATCGAAACTTACTTTCTCCAGGGGGAACAGCGCTTTTTAAATACCTTTTAGTCGTCAAATCATGCTACGCTCCGCTGTAGATAAAAGCGTAACCGACCTACCCCGGCCAGGCTCCTTCCCCTTCCCGGGAAAGCTCAGCCCTTCTCCCCTCGGGATAGGATGCAGCGTGACAGCCCAGCCTGGAACAGCGGGCTCTCTAGAAATAAGCGGAGTTCTGATCTAACTCATGGTGTGTGGGCATCTTCGTTCTCTGAGTCAGAGCATGCGCACGAAGAGGGGAGGCTGTGTCGGGGTCTCCTGATGTCAGACCTGCGAGCCACAGCAGGTTAGATGGAGTGGAGGCCTGTTCGCATCCTCCGGCCTCCCGAACATCACAAGACCCCGTCCAGGGTTCTAGTGCACTTGGGCCGGGAGTTCGGGCCCCATCTTGTTCCACAGCAAAAAGACCTGGAAGACGTTTTGCTGTGGGTTTAACAGGCGCGGGGAAATTTCTGACCGCAACAAAGCCGCACACTAAGCATCAGGATTCCCTAAGCAGCGAGGGAAGGTCCTTTAAGCCAGCCTCATTTTCTGCATTTTCGGAACTGGGGATTTTCATACATTGGCCAGATGTTTTCTCCGAGGGCTGTTTCTTCCAAAGAAGCTGCTTTTAGGGGCACCAACTTTTGGATCTGAAGAATTTGACCAGATCGAGGTAATTGTCTAGAAAAATATTGTTGGATCCCGAGTCTGGGCAGAGGAGAGGGTCTGATGAAATAGGAAGCTAGAGGGAAGCCTTTGAGAGGGTGGAAGAGGCTTTTCTGAGCATGTTCGTGTTTGTTCCTCGGCAGGTTTTGGCTGGTGATTAAGGAAGATGGACACATGGTCACCGCCCGGCAGGAGCCTCGCCTGGTGCTGGTGTCCATCACCTGTGAGGGTGACCGCCTGATCCTCAGGGCTCCGGGCATGGGCCAGCTGGCTTTGCCGAGCAAGCTGCCTTTCTCAAACAAGCTCCGTGATTGCAGGTGCTCTGCTTGGGGCCCCTGGGGACCTGACGTGATTTTCCTGTAGGCTTCTCCCTGCACCTGTCTTGCTCCAGTGTGTATAGTAGGTGATGTGTTTGGTAAAGGAAGTAATTCAGAGAAGTCTGGCCAGGGCTGGGATCGATCCAGTGGTGGGGGGTGAGTGGGTGAGGCAGAGTACTGTTTTAAGGGTCCCTGGGATTTGTTTTACTCAGGTATGGTTAAGGCATGCAGAGGGGCAAATGACCGTGATGAAGAAAGACGGACGTTTTCTATATTCACGGGTCCCTGGGAACAGGAGGCTTGGCGTGTCATGTGGGGCCACACAGAGGAGCAGCAGGGGTGGGCTGGGGTGGGGTGCGGGGTTGGGGAGACGTGGAGGGGGGAACGAGAGCCTTTTTTTTTTAAAGATTTTATTAGAGAGAGAGAGACCGTGCACATGAGCAGTGAGGGAGGGGCAGAGGGAAAGGGAGAAGCAGACTCCCTGCTGAGTTGAGCAGGAAGCCCGATGGAGGCTCAATCCCAGGACCCCAAGATAATGACCTGAGCCGAAGGCAAATGCTTAACTGACTGAACCACCCAGGTGCCCCTACAAGAGCCTTTATTGTGGTTTCCACAGGAAGTCCCAGGCAGGGCGGTTAAACAGCTTCAGGGTTGGCTAGTTTGAGTAATTTCAGTGGGCTCTGGGGCATAGAGGCTGTCTCTGGGTGCCTGGTACCTGGCCCTGGGCGATTAGGGCCGGGGACAGTGGCCTGGCATGACAGAGCCCAGAGAGGAGGTGGCGGAGGGTGGGGGCTCTGGACTGGTTGTCGTGCTGTCTAAAGGTGTGTGGTTTCCTACCTGTAGGAATTGATTAGCCCTGGGAGGGGCAGTTCCTTCCACATCAGCAAGGCCCCAGGATGCCAAAGCATCAAGAATACAGGAAACGCAAAAGCATGATTAATACCTATAGAGAGAGGGGGTGCCAAGGGCCAATCTTTAGTTTGTCTCTGTTTATTCAAGTTGGATGGACTTCTATTCAGCATTGCCAGCCCCCCAAGCCAGGCAGACAAGGCAGTTAGTGGAGACTACCAGCCATATCTCAGGGTTGTGTGAGAAGGCCCTAGAACTTTTCAAGGTGACTGCAGCCTCTCAGGTCTCTGGCCCAAGGCAGATTTAGGAGATTCCCACCTCTGGCCTGGATATGCCTCAGTCCTGGGCTTCCTTTCAGTCTGTAGGACCCCTGCAGGGCCGTCAAATTCTATGGCTCCCTGGGGGTCTTGTCCTGTGCTATGGGGAAGTCCTAGAGGCCTGGGTACCTGTCTTGGGGTGCTCTGGATCCCTCTGTAACACCTGAGCATTCTCAGCTTGTGGAGATTGGAGTTGTCCGCTGGTCCCAAGGCTCAGAGGAAGGCCACAGATTGTTCCCTGTGTCCTGATTGCATGCTTTTTCAAGCAGAGTGTCTGAGCTGAAATCCGTCATTCAAGGTTCTGAAATTTCAAAAGCCTGAAATAATAATTCATCGAATATAATATTTTAGCTAATTATCTCCTCAAGCTCATGAGGTGGATATCATTAATTCTACTTCACACCAGGAAAACAGGACTCGTATCATGTCATGCAAGGCCGAGCTGGGATTTGAACCCTCCTGCCTCCCAGTGTTCGCTCTTAATGCCTTTGCGCAGGGAGAGGAAAAGCTTTGCTGTATAGGATTTGATTAATATTTATTCTTTGAGAACTTTACAGCAAAACTGAATTTTCTTTGTAAAAATCCATTCAAAGGGGCGCCTAGGGGGCTCAGTCAGTTAAGTGTGGGACTCTTGGTTTCCGCTCAGGTCGTGGTCTCAGGGTGGCATTGGGCTCTGTGCTCAGCGGGAGTTTGCTTCTCTCCCTCTCCCTCTGCCCCCCTCTCTCTCTCAAAATAAATCAATAAATCTTTAAAAAAAATCCATTCCAGGCTTTATGTCTTAAGTATCTTAAATTTTAAACAAAATTTTACTTTTTATGCTTAGTAATTATCAAAATTTATAACTCATTTTGTTGTGACCCATTGTACACAAATAAAAATTGTCATGATAACTCAGTCCTGAAAAAATTTCTTCTCCTTTAGAGCCTTAAGAAACAGAAAATTTAATTGGTTAAAAACTGATCAATAACCATAAAATTATGTAAGAGAAATAACGTGTACATCTGTATTCGAGAATAAAAAGAGGAATGACATAAAAGTGTGGGCTATTAAAGTAGACCTTAACCGTAACCATATATTTTATTTATTTTTATTTTTTCATTTTCTAAAGATTTTATTTATTTATTTGAGTGAGAGAGAGAGAGACCATGAGTGGGGGGAAGAGCAGAGGGAGAAGGAGAAGCAGACACCCTGATGAGCGGGGAGCCTGATGTGGGCCTTGATCCCAGGACCCTGAGATCATGACCTGAGCTGAAGTCAGATGCTTAACCCACTGAGCCATCCAGGCACCTTTTAACCATATATTTTATTTTATTTTTATTTATTTACTTTTTAAAAGATTTTATTTATTTGAGAGAGTGAGAGAGAGAGCATGAGCATGGGGAGGAACAGAGGGAGAGGGAGAAGCAGACTCCCTGCTGGGCAGGCAGCCCAATGTGGGGCTCGATCCCAGGATCCCGGGATCATGAGCTGAGCTGAAGGCAGACGCTTAACCGACTGAGCCACGCAGGTGCCCCTTAACCATATATTTTAAGAAATGAAGAGGAGTGGGTGTCAAACCACCATGGCATTTAGATTCCATTGCATACTTAAAAAAGTATAATTTTATATATTTGTATATTAACATACATAATATACTTTATAATTATATTTTAAATGTTAATATTTATAATTCAATGGAAATTATATCTTTTACAATAAATTAAACTTATGATAAAAATAGTTTACATGTCAACTTGCCATTCTGTGAGGGGTACATAGCTTTTAAACATTTTTTTTAGTGGTATTCAAGCAGAAAGACTGCTGTGTTATCTAACTGACTCTGTGCCTACCTTGTGGGTAGCTACCATACTACACTGTCCAGTTTACAACCGGAGACACAAGGTCAGGGGAGTTCAGTGGTTTGTATAAGGTCACAGTCTTTATAGAGAATGGTGGAGTTCCAGTTTGAACCAGTTCTGCCAGACTCCAAGCTTAGGCTGCGTTGACCACACCATAGTCCCTGTCCCCTTCGAAAAGTATCGTGAATCCTTGCTACTCAAAGTGTGGTCTGCAGACCAGCAGCTTGGGCATCCTGGAGCTTGTCAGGCAGGCAGAATCTCAGGCTCCAACCAGACCTTCTGAAGCAGAGTCTGCATTTGCAGGCATGTTAGGGGTTGAGAAGCTCTTCCCTGGAACGTTCTACTGCCTCCCTTCTGTTTCTGTCCGGCTTTGGCCCTTGGCCCGAAGACCACTTCCTGGCGCTCCGGGATAGTCAGGTCCCAGCGGTCTAGCTGTCCTGTCTTTGTCCCGTCTCTCAGCGTGTTGAGGCAGGACAGTAACTTGGCGCTCTCTTGTGACCCTTCCAGGCTCTTTGGTATGGACATCGAGGGCAGGGACTGTGGCGACCAGGCAGCTCAGTGGTTCACCAGCTTCTTGAAAACAGAGGCTTTCAGGCTGGTTCAGTTTGAGAAGCACATGAAGGGAAGACCATCGAGGGAAATTTTCTCTACTTCAGTACCGAATTACCAGGTGTGCTTCCAGAGAGCTGCCCTTCACTTCTGCCAATCACCCCTCTGTCTCCAGCTTCCTTCCTGACCCACAAAGGAGGTCCCCAGTTAGGAGAGTGTAGGAACGGCCCAGGTGAGGGGGTTTGAGGGCACGTCCCGGGCAGGTGTTGGGGATGGAGAGGGAAGTGGCTCGGAGTGGAGCAGGCTCTCCAGCATGCGTGGAGGATAGATCGTGTCTGGACTGTGGAGGGAGAGGCCCGGGGTGACCCCCAGTGAGATGGGGACTCAGGAGACACTCACGTTGGGAAGTGAGAAGTTCATTTGGGACTGAACCAAGGCTCTTAAAATTACCGAAGCTGACTTTCTCCTGGGGCTTCCTTGGCCATCAGGCTGATTTGGCTATTTCAGGCACCAAAAAGTCACCTTCTCAGGAAGACCGCCCTGTGGGGCAGCTACAGCGCAAAGCCTTCGATTCTGCAGCGAGTTAGGGTTTAAAATGCCAGCACCTCCCTGAACCACAAGCTGTTTGAACGCAGGGATTTTCACACTGCCTTTTGCCCACCTAGAACAGTGCCTGGTACAGAGTAGGTGCTTCATACATAGAGTGAACGGGTGCCATGTGGAGAAATTGGGACCAGAGCATAGCTGATTGGCATCAGGTCCTTCCCCTGTGTGACAATGATGTTGTGGGAAGGGGGTCAGGGCTGGGCGCTGGACTGAGGCCCAGGGAGAGTCCCAGAAAGTGATGTTGGCCCTCAGCCCTCGCTGCTGTCTTTTCCGAGTGGCGGGAGAGCCCCTGCGAGGCTCAGCGGCAGGAACCGGCCCAGCCCTGACTTGGCCGGATGCAAGACCACCGTGTCCCCTCCCCTCCCCGAACACCACTGGCCCTCCCTGCACAACTCTTCTGGCCTTTGCTTCGCTTTCAGCTGGGCTAGGGCATTTCACGGGGCAGGGAGGCCTGAGGGTGCCATGTCCCTGGCACAGGTGGCCTACCCAGACTGCTGCCCCATCATGATCCTCTCGGAAGCCTCCCTGGCGGATCTGAATACCAGGCTGGAGAAGAAAGTGAAAATGGACCAGTTCAGACCCAATATCGTGGTGACAGGCTGCGATGCTTTCGAGGAGGTAAGAGGTTCACCGCTTTTGTGCATGAAGCTCAGATGTGCTGTTCAAGATGCCCACAGGATGGTTGTCCCCTTTACCTAGCCCCAGCTCAGACCCTCCATGGTCAGCTGTGAGGGAGACTCTCCTCCCCCAAGCGTCACCTTAATCTGATAGAGCCGGCCACTTACTGCTACCCCTGTCACCCTGGCCTCAGGAGGACGCCACTCACCCGTTCATGCGTGGGCCCCAAAGCAAGCAGTCAGAACTCCAAACTAGATCGAGTCAGGAACTAGACAAGAATGTATCCTTATGGCTCAGAGATAACTAAAGGGAAATGAAGATGAAGAGAACAGCCAGGAGTGCTCAAGGATTTGAGACTCCTGGAAGGCCCAGACCCTAAAGCGGAGGCCGAGAGGATACAGGAGATCTGCCTGTGAACAGGGCCCTCGGGAGGGTCCACGCTGTGGCCGAGTTCTGTCCCAGAGGACCCACATGCTCTCCTGTGTGGCTGATGGCAGGAATTTCTACCCTCTCCAGCCACAGCCCTTTGTAGCCCTAATAGGACACCCACATCAAAACCCAGTTGTCCTGCGATCTGTACAGAAATACGCAACTGGGTGTTGCTTTGTGCTGAGAGAACATCGAGAGTCCTGTTAAACATTGGTGGTGGGCTAAACTTTATGAGCCTGGAAGTGACCAAGGCAAATCCATTCATTGCATGTTTACTGGGCACCAGACACAGAACTAATGTATTACTTCATACAAATTATTCTATTTGATCCCGATGACAACCCTATGAAGTCTGTGTTACCGTCTCCTTTTGATAAGGAAATTGAAGCTGAGGGACCTTACGCACTTGTTGGACATGTGATTGGCAGTTCTGGGATTAGAACCTCAGACTTGCACCTCTGGCTCCTGAGGGGGTGAGGGCATGCTTCCAATTTAGAAATCCCAAGTAGCTAACTCTTGAGGGGAGAAGCTCTCCATTCTTTGCTCCCCTGGGTGGCCACCTTTCCTTTTGTGTGAGTAAAATGTGCCCTTATTTGCTGATAAGTGTCGTCCTTTAGAATAAACCTTTGCACAGGCACCTGGGTGGCTCAGTCAGTTAAGCATCAGACTCTTGGTTTCAGCTCAGGTCGTGACCTTGGGGTCGTGGAATTGAGCCCAGTGTGCCGGTGTCTATGGAGGAGGCAGCACCGGAAGGGGCCCCGACGTTCTGGGGCAGTCAGCACCTTGAGGGAAGAGACTTGATTTTTCTCCCCAGGAATAAATCCCAGATTTGGTGGGACTTAATACAGTGTGGGGAGGCCTCCTTCAGAAAAGACAATAACGCAGGTGCAGGGCCTAGAAGGGCTCAGGTGCCAGAGAGGGGACTAGCCTGCCCATCCCCCCGCCCCTCCCCACCCCTGTGGTCTACTGGTGTGCATAAGCATGGAATCCTTAGATGCTTGCTAAACACAAATAAAATCGGTGCTCGATGTTGTTGATGCAAGTGGCTGAGATTTGGATTAGAAATTAGTCCATGAAGCAAAAACACCTTCACAGGAATCCTGTAATTGCTCCACTATTTTCTGAGAAATTTTCTTTTAGGGAATACAATTTTTCTTGATTTGTCTCCACTGAAGGTCCTAATTTTAGTAAGATTTTGAGCCAAGAGGAATAAGAAGAAAAGCTATTCCGTAGCCAGATCCCTGTCGAAAGAATTTTTGCTTTCTTGGAATTTGCCAGCTAAGAGTTTTTGCTCTCCTGTAACTTGTCAAAGTAAACCTAAGGCTAAAACCTCACATTAGTGAGGCATTGGCATTGGCATTGTTCATTTAGGCAATTTGAGTGGGTGGAGTCTTTTTTTGTTTTGTTTTGTTTTTTAATTAAAAAAATGTTCAGTCATCTTGAGCTCTGTGTTTTAATTCCTGCATCACGATGGGCTTACTGAAATAGTAACATAAGTAAGGCAGAATACTCTTATTTTTCCAGAAAAGTCCTCTGGTTGTATACTTTAAAAAAAAAAAATCCTTTGTATAAAATGATGCTGATGTTGCATCAATTTATCCTCCCTGATATTAGGAAGGCCAATAGTTAGGGGCCTGATGTATTAACCTGTCTACCAGGCACTGTTGTACAACTATAACCTTTTCAATTAGTGGGACTCTATTAAATATTGATGTAAAATGTGAATGTATGTAAATATTTAGTAGACCAACTAATAATAAAAAAATAGCATATCTAAGCATGGTGCAGAGTCTGGCCATTTTTTTTATTGCAAAAATATAGAGCAATAGTAGAATGCATTGTGCAACATTTGCTCTTCATGACCCAAAGTACTTGGTACTTTTTCCATGTAACTCAGAATGTTAAGCAAGTTTTTAAAGGTGGCTTCCCTTGGGCCAGTGTAGTGTGTGTGCATTTGGGGAATGCAGAGCAGTGGAGTTTAAAAATAATACAGTTGACCAATGCTTCTTGTCTGTGTGCTTGGCCATTGCAGGAGTCAGGGATCAGGTGTTTCCCGAACTTTGCTCACTTTCCTGGTATGCAGGACTTTTTTGTCTTGACTTTTTTTTTTTTTTTGGACTATCTTGTTTGTATCATTTCTCACTCTGCAGTATGAAAGAACTGTGGAGAAGCTTGCAGAAAACCTTGGGTGTGTTATTTGTCACTCAGGAAGTGATCCTTCAAGAAGCTTCTAGAGAGGGTAGATCTTAAAGCCAGGCAGCTGTGGTTGGACTCCCAGGCCCCTCACTGGCTGTGTGCACTGGGTCCTCTCAGTCCGATCCTTTGCAGCTGTTGAGAAAGAAATGTTTTGCAAACCATTATGACCAAACTCTCAGTCCCCCAAATCGGAGTGGGGTCGAGTTTGGATTTTACTTGGGAGCATACATGCGTACATTAGAAGTCTCTGTCCTGGAATAAGAACATCATCTCTGCCCGGGCTTCAGGGATTTCTGAAGAAGCAATGCCAACGACAGCATATAAAACAATAACAAAGTAACAGTAACAGCCAAAGCTCCCAGTTGTCAAATGTGCATTATGTCCCAGGCACTGTGCCAGGCATTTTGGTGCAGGATCTGACTTCATCTTTCTCCTTAACCTTTCCAAACTGCAGGTCATAACCCATTATTGGGTTAGAATTTTAGTTCTATGGGTCCTGACCAGCACTACAAAAACCAAAAACAGAAACAAAAAACAAAAAAGCAAACTAGAATAAAAGGTATCAGAGTTATATACATAAAAGGTATGTAGTAAGGTGAAGACTTGTTCTGTGGGCTCCTGGGGCTGCAGCAGTCCTCGGCATCCTCCGTGCTCAGTGAAGTCACCATCTGTCACCATATGGCATTATGACCATCTTTTTTTTTTTTTTTTTAACGATTTTATTTATTTGAGAGAGAGAGAGAGAGAAAGAGTATGAGTAGGGGGAGCAGCAGAGGCAGAGGGAGAAGCAGACTGCCCGCTGAGCAGGGAGCCTGATGTGGGGCTCGATCCCAGGACCCTGGGATCTTGACCTGAGCGGAAGACAGATGCTTAACCAACTGAGCCACCCAGGCGTCCCTAAAAGTAATTTTTTAAAGTACCACTTCCTTTGTGTAAAGAAAAACTTGAAGGAATAAAAATCCTTCCCCATCCTACCATCAAAAAGTAGCCTATGATAACATTTTATTGTGTTTCCAATATTATTTATGTGATATTGTACAAGTAGTATTGAATTCCCCCATTTTCACTTAATGGTAGATGGCTCACAGCTCTGTCTTTACAAATTCTTCGTTAGCATAGTTTTTGTGGTTCCATATTAGTCCATCTTTGAACTCTGCCGTCACTTAGCCATTCCCTTATAATTGAGCATGTAGGCTGTCTTCTGTTTTCCCTTACATAAATAATGAACAGCTTTGTAAAACAGTCTTTATCTGCATTTCTCAACTTATTCTTAAGAAATGCAAAGTCAGAATTTTGTGGGCTTTTCATGTATATTGCCAAATGGATTTGCAGAAACCTCATGCCAATTTATGTTCCCACAAGTTGAGCAGAAATGCGCCCTTTGTCTAGTCCTTGGCCAGCACTGATGCCTTGCATCTTTACTAAATCCAGTAAGTGAAAAGTCCTGTCTCCTGTAAATTGGTAATTCTTAGTGTAAGGAATCTTGTGTTACTCAGTCTGTGAAGGAAGTTTGGCCTTGAGGCAGAGTTTTACTTCAGCTAAGGAAACTTAATTTCAATGTATAAAGTGAAAGTTTATATACTGGCCAAGGTTCTAGAACACTCATGCTTGCAACAGACGTTTATTGAGAGTTTGCTGGGTCCTAATCTCTGAGATAGGTGCTAAACTTACAGAAATGAATTCACTGTCTGCCTGCAAGGGCCTGAGGGTGAAGCAGGTTTGAGGGCTCAGTAGCTGGAGGGTTGAGAGACGTAACCTCACTCATGGGAGCCCAGAGAAAGGAACGCTTAGCACAGGGTATGTATGTGTTTGTGGGAAGAATGCCACAGGGTTTGTTGAAACAGAGAGCATTTAAATTTTGGAATAGGGATTAAAGAATAGTGTTTTGCATGTATATCTTAAAAACAGAAAAACAATTTTTGGCTTTGAGATAGTTGAACTGTGTGGTGTAATGGGAAATACATATTTGGCACTTGTCCCCTATTACAGCCCCTAAAACCCTTGGAATTTCCTGAGTGATAGGAGTACTTTCTATTATTAACAGACTCCTATCAATCATACCTGAGTTATGCTAATGAGGTGAGTGGTAGGGGTGGGGGGTAAGTAGGTTCAGGTTGGAAGTAGGTCACCAGTAAGACCAAGCCTTGACTGGAAATTTGGAACTTTCAGCCCCTCCCCCCAGGCCTCCAGGGAGGGGAGAGGGGCTGGAGGTTGAATTCAATTGCAAATAGACAGTGATGTGATCATCCTGCCTAAGTAATAAAACCTCCACAAAAACCCTTAAAATTAAAAAGACTGGTTTTGGAGTGCTTCCTGGTTGGTGAAGAAGTCAAGGTCCTGGGAGCTGGGACCATGGCTTGGAAGCTCTGTGCTCCTTCCCTCATACCTTGTTCCCCGAATTTCTTCCATCTGACTGCTCCTGAGTTATATCCTTTATAATGAACTGGTCATAGTAAAGCACTTTCCTGAGTTCTGTGAGCTCTCCTGGCAGAATATCCAACCTGAGGGGGGGCGGGGTCCTGGGAATCCTCGATTTATAGCTGGTTGACCAGAAGTACGGCAGAGCTGAACACTTGGCATCTGAAGTGAGGGGTGGGGGGAAGTCTGTGGGACCGAGCCCTTAACCCAACATAGGGAGTGTGTAACTCCAGGTGGTCAGAAAGGGGTGAAATCACAGGACCTCTCTTGGTGTCAGGGAATTGCAGAATTGGTGTTGGAAACACACCATGTGTTTGGTGTTGGAAAGAATCTGAGAAACTTCCTAGATCAAAATGACTTTAAAAATGTGTTGTCGGGATGATAATGCTTCTGATAAAAAAAAAAAAAACACAGAAAAGGAAAACAAAAAATAAAACAAAATTTATAAAAATACTGTTTAAACTTGAGGAGCCTTCCAAATATATTGCTATAAATATATACACATAGCTGTATGTACAGGTTGTTTTTTTTTATATAAACAGATTTATTCTCCATATAGTGTGTATATATATGTGTGTGTGTGTTTTCTTCACTCAGCAACATCTTGAACATTATTCAGTTGATAAGGAAAGACTCACATCCTCCTTTCTGCTGCCCAAACAGTAATCACTCTCCAAATGGGCCACATATAGTTAGCCAGCCCATAGTTCATGGCTTCCCAAGCCCACGGTAATCATGTGGCCTCCTTGATACCAAGGATTTCTAAACAACAAACTTGTTTATTTACTTATTCATCCCCTCAGTTTATCCCAACATGGCTTAAATAATCACTGAATGTGTCACATAATCTATTAAACTTAGGAGTAGCAATTAGAGAATCCAGAGCAGGGTACGGGGAGGCACGGATCTTGGGACTGAGGTTCAGGACGTCGAAGGACTCCAAGGATGGCAGGAGACCCTGGCCCAAGGTGCAGGTGCCCAGAAGCTCTGTAGCTGTTGGTAGGGTAGGACTGCTGATCCAGTCTGTGTTCTTCAGGATAATTCCTTTGATAGCCCATGGCAACAGCAGAGAGCTCCTTGTTTTGCCTGCTGTCTTACGCTCAGATGTCTTCTTGTCCATCTGTGGTGCATGGGCATTCAGGAGCGTACCTTGGCCTCCCTTCTCACCTGGTGCCCTCCCACCATGTTTGTGTATATATTATTATATGTATATAATATGTATAATATGAAATATATGTATGCACACATATACAACATATATAGAATATATATACAAAGATGGAATAGATATATTCTATTCTCTCTCTTTAAATATATGTGTACAGACTATATGTGTGGTGTGTGTGTGTGTGTGTGTGTGTGTGTGTGTGTGTATACAGAGAGAGAGGGAAAGGGAGGGGGAGAGAGAGACTTGAGAGGGTAGAATCTCCTGTCATACATTTAATTTATTGCTTGGCAGGTGCCTGTCTGGACTCTAGTGAAGGTCTCAAAGAAGCAAACACCCTCATCTGCACTATTCTGTGTGCTCCACAATAATTGCCCCAGACTCTTAATTAATTAATTAGTTAATTATTTTTTCCAGACCCTTAATTTATGTCTTTCTTTGGATACTACTTGTCATGGGAAACCATGTAATCTTAATGTAGTGTTTGCCAATGTAAATGGCAAATTCATAGTAATTTCTTAGGGTGATTCCACGGAACTGAGCCCATTGTGTACCGTGATCCCTCCTTTCTCACTGCCTTTCTTTCTTCCTTTCCTTTCTTCTTGCCCCTCAAAAACTCCCTGGCTTTACCCCTTCACCGTAAATAAATGTCTTAGGGGCCTGGATTTTGCCAGACTGCAGAGAGGTTGCTCGGCATCAGGGGGAGCAGTCAGCTCTTCTAGCTGTTTTCTGTGTTTAGGGAAGGCACTGGAACCTTGCGTGTGTCCGGTGGAACCTAATGGAAAATTGAATTTCATGCATTTTTAATTAAAATGAATTTTTAATAACTTAAGGTATTTTATTATCTTCCTCTAATAACTGAATTAATAATTACATTTAAACTTAATTCTCATAGTGTTTTTTACTGCAAATAACGCTCTGCGCCAAAATGCCAACTGTGATCAGATTAGGGTGAGTGACGTTATTATATAAAGTGATTAATACTTTTGGAGGTTGTTAGAGCTGCAGTTTGGGGAGCTTCAGACAGTTTCTATGAATGCAGACAATTTGTTACTCTAAACGGTACTGCCGTTCCCTGAGAGCGGAAGAGCAGATTACCTCTGTTTTATTGAGCTAGGACACCTAATCGAACTTTTCAGACTTTCCTGCTTCATGCCACAGTCACAAGGCAGAGTTTCCGCAGATCTGTGGCTTTGAAATGTGAAATTCATGATCATTTGTGCAGACATTGAAAGGCAGGTAGTTGGAGAGCTCTGGGGCGCGGATGGGCTCGCATTCCTGTGTCCGCAGCGCCCTCGTGTGGCAAAATGCATCCAGCCTTTGCCGCCGCCCCCAGGCCAAGGCTGCACGGGACCCATCACTTCCCCCTGCGGGATCCCTATTACTGGTCACGCTCGGGGGAGGTCCCATTCCGCCGGCTGAGCCACCTGCTCTGGTTGTGCTGCATATTTTTGCCGTTTGCACAGGGCTTGTAGTAAGTCCTGGCTGGGATATAGAAATTCCGTTTGTTACATGGGGGTCCTTGACTTTTACAGGGGCAACACAGTCCGTCCAACAACCGGTTTGGAACACAGATTTTATTTCCACACAGCAGCGGTTTCATAAATGGTTGTTGGGAACCCAGCGCGTCCACAGAGACCTTTACCGCGGTTGTGCTCCTGTTCCGTAGGAGATTTGTGAGCTGGGAAGACCCAGTTAGGGACTGGAGTATCTTTCCTGTGTTGGCTAAATCACCCCTGTAGGCCCTGGGGGCTTCGTGTACCCCTGGGAGAGCAGGTCATCAGAGGTGGAAGGAAAAACATTATGTGTTAGCTCCCCCCCCCCCCGCCCCCCCCCCCCCCCCCCCGTCCCCTGCTCTGTCTGGCCTCTCCTGTCCCTGGGGGTGGGGGGGGGTCAATAGATGGCTCATTTCCTCGCTTGCGGACTGACTTCTCACCAAATCGCTTAGACCCGCTCCAAACCTCATTTGGGTTGAGATCAGGAAACAATTTTTCAAGGGACACTTTTATTGCACCTGATTATAGGTACTGTTGTCGGTTTCTGGAGCCTGGAGTGAGGACCCTCCCCCACTACCTCTCACCTCTCCCCCTGAGGCCTGGATGGGGGTTGTCCTGGGAAAGGCAGATCCCACAGAGGGCTTCCCTATTAGCAAGAGAGTCCTATAACATACCCTCCCTCCTTATATATGTGTGTGCATGTCTGTGTGCGTAGGTGTATGAATATGTATATCTAGGCATATGTAATGTAATCTATATAATCTCCATATATGTGTGTATGTTTATATATATGTGTGTGTAGACAGATAAATAGAGACAGAGATAGATTTAAAAGCTGGGTGGTTAGAAGTCCTGCCTTCAGAATCTGAAGTTTTCAAACCTGCTATGACCCTGAGAAAATTTTGTAACCTCTCCAGGTCTTGGTTTCTTTGTGCAAAACAGGGATCGTCATAGTACCTTCTAAAGAGGATTTTATTGAAGCCCCAAGGTGGATGTTGGCAGTGCCCACCGTTTGAGGGTGGGAACCCAAAGCACGGCCAGGAGCTGTGGAATGCCAGCCCCCCCCGCCCCCCCGCCAGGGCAGGCTACCAGTCGTGGAGGTAGGAGTGTTGAATGTGTGAATCTCCTACCTGACTTCCTGTGGGTGATGTCCCATTCATCAAAGAACTATCAGATTTTAACTTGGCTTCCATTGTAGCTTAGGTATAAGAACAAAGTGGGCTTGTCTTGCAAGCTATACATTTTTCATTATATATCAGTAAATTGGCCTTGTAGTTAATGTATGATTCGTACGGCAAACTGCCCGGCAGAGAAGGTCTGTTCTCGCTTTGCTGACAGAGTCGGGTTTCTGAGACAGTGACTCAAGAGGTGGATGGATCCTGGACTCACCCATATGCTGTCTCCCTTTGTGTCCCTTTGAGAGATACTTCTTGGGGTCTGGCTGTCCTTTCTTCTGCTAGCCTCATTGTTAGGACCAGCTAAAGAGTAACCTGCTTTCAAGACTAATGAAGCCTTGATTCAAAAGATAACTTTTCCTTTCCTCCTAGGATACTTGGGATGAACTCCTAATTGGCAACGTAGAAATGAAAAAGGTTTTGTCTTGCCCCAGGTAAGGATTCTCTCAGAGTCAACCTCTGAGGGGTGGTGGTGTGTTCATTGGTCCCTAACCACCACCTAATCATTGGTTCTTGAATGGCAGGTGCATTTTGACCACTGTAGACCCAGATACTGGAGTGATAGACAGGAAGGAGCCACTGGAAACCCTGAAGAGGTAAACAGCAATGTGTCCACGGTGTTTTTAATACTATCCCCATCCCAGAGCTACCTGTGGGGGTAGGTGCCCCGTCCGAGCACCTTTCACTCTGCCTTCTGGTTGGCATGTGTCTGTGGGTAAGTTGCTTCCTCTTTTTTTAAGGATGGATCTTCGAGTGCTTTTGACAGATTTTTCATTGTCTAATACTGTGTTTTGAAGTTTTCAGATCTCTCACATCAATTTTTAATAACATTCATGTGTGTATGTCCAAATTAAGACCTCAAATACTGTAATTATTATTGCACCTCAGATTTCTTTATTAGACTCAACATCAAGGATTATGAGACTAATTGAAGTTGCATAATGAAATATTAGAAAAATGGAAATGTAGCCAGTTGTCAAGAGTTTATTTGTTTGGGAGCTTCCTTTGGGCCCAGGTGTTTTGTTTTGTTGCTAGCTGACTTTAGTTATCAATAGAGAATGTGTTTTTAAAACTAAGTCAACATTTTTGGGAGATATATTCTATTTTATTTTCTTTTTCTCTGTTTTGCTATTTGTTTCCAATCCTTTTGAGTTTTAGAGAAGAGGTTATTTCTTGATAACCTTCGGATATGCAAATATGTTTTGTTTTTTGATTTTTGAGATGCAGTGAAGTTAATTTTTTTCTCTTTAGACAGGCCTTTTGAAAAACATTAACTTCATCAGTAGTTCAGCCCCATGCCAGCTGCATCTCTATCTTCATTTTTGTTCATCAAGAGCCTCAGCTTTGGGCTTGTAAACCGGGGGGAGGGGGGAAGCGTATTACTTACATGCATTGGACAGAAGGTTTGGAGGGGCGCCTGGGTGGTTTAATGGGTGAAGCATATGACTCGATTTCAGCTCAGGTCATGATCTCAGCATCCTGGGATTGAGTCCTGCATAGGCTCTGCGCTCAGCCTGTCTCTCAGATAAATAAATTAATTGATTAAAAAAAAAGAACTTGGTGAGTTCAGGCAGTTCCATTTTGAGATTGTATGAGCATTTGTTTCAGGGAGTTGTGAAGTTAGAGGTATACATGCAAACATATACCACTTACTATTTTTTTAACATACCACTTATTTTTGTTATTTTTTAAGTTTTTATTTATTTTTATTTTTTGAGTAACACAGTTTTTTCAAACTGAAGCCATGGAAAATTGTTCAGACTCTCAGGATGCTCCTAGAAAAACCAGGATTATGTATAGTTTGCCTACTTGCGCACAGATTTCTCTGTCCACGTTGTAGAAGAGGCTTTCTATTTATGATAGGTCATCTGAGAATGAAAACTTGAATTCTCTTGAGAGCCCTTAAGTTCTTATTTCCCGTTTGTGCCTGATGATGAATTTTTGCTTCTTTCAGCTACCGCCTGTGTGATCCTTCCGAGAAGGCAGTATACAAGTCGTCCCCACTTTTTGGGATCTATTATTCAGTGGAGAAAATTGGCAGCCTGAAAGTTGGTGACCCCGTGTATCGGCTGGTTCAGTGACGTGGTACGGTGAAGGGCGGGCTTTGCTGCTGGAATGCATTGCTTCAAGGCCACTGCCACGTTTTCTTGCTTTGAGATGTTTTTATGTTTTGCTGCTTTAACTCCTGGGAGAATGAGCGGTTTGTGTTCCGCTCTTTGGAGTTGGAAAATGCCTTTTATTTTTCTTTCCTCCACAATCTGATTTATTTCACCTAGGCTTCTCTCCCACTTCCCATTCAGTTATAAAAGGCATCTGATGCAGGAGCCCCAGCAAAAGACAGGTAGATGTTCTCAGTTCATTAAGAAATAAGGAAATGAAGGTGAGCAGGTCTCAAGAGTTCTACATTGATTTTTTCTGTCTCTGATAGAAAAGTGAGGGGAAATGTTTAAATTATTCAAAATCAACTTGAGAAAAACATTAAATACTTTTTATAAAATTTATTTTTAAAATATGATTTAAAGTTTAAGAAATATTAGTGTATCAAGGTGCCAGGATTCTGAATCATAAGGTAGAAAATAATGCTCTCACCTTGATTTCATCAGCCCAGAGACAACCCTGACGCCTGGAGCATAATGCCCAACCCCCAAATTATAGAAATAAAATCATTTGGAAGACTTCGAAGTGAGGTTTATTAAACAACTCTTTTCATAAAATCTATAACCCCAGTTCTGAAAGTCACCTCATGTCTGTAACTCTTGACCATTGTTCTTTCTGATCCTGGGCTGACCTTCTCACCTTCCCGCTTGACCAGCCTTGAGGACAACATGGGATACTGGTCCAGACTGTCTAGATCCAGCATCGGATAGACTTGGGTTCATGATCCTAGCAGCTCCTTTTCCTAACTTGGTTGAATTATTTAACCTCTGAGCCTTACTACCCTTATCTGCAAAGTGTTGGAATACGGGGGTACTCAACCAAACAATCATCACAGTTATTTTGAGGATTAATTTATATAAAGTTGCAGCATTGCAACAGAAATGTGAGGTGTCCCTATTGGGTGGGGGTGGGAACCATGGGCAGTGAAAGAATTCACCCAGGGCGGAGCAAAGGAGGGAGTTTATTGAATACACCGCAGGGGAGCTGTAAGGCAGGACAGAAAAGAGAGACAGTCAGCTAGGCGGCGGTGGTGAGGGACTATAGTAGTTATAGGGCAGGGTGAGGAGGTATGGAGACATCGGGAATTTTACCATTTTTGGTAATATTAGCAACTGTGCCTGGTTGTAAGTAGCCCATTGGTTAGGTAGGGCCTGTGGGTTAATGAGCCTGTCTGCATTCAGTTTTCTTGTCACCGGGGCCCTTTTGTCGTACTCAAGCTTCCATAGCTCAAGCCTGCTGCCAAAGAACAGCCTCTACAAGGAACACAGAAAATGCTCAATAAATATTAGCCATGATTTTTATTGTTGTCATTGTGGAGGGGCTCCTAGGAAAACTACGCGGAAGCCAGCAAAGGGTAAACAGTTCTTACGAGAATAAGCTCTTGTTAATCTCTGGCTATAGTGCTCAGTTAAGAGAGAAAACTAAAAGTTCACGTTGTCCCTTCCTTTCCAAATCCAAACGCATTGTTTATGGATCTTTTCTCTCCCAGAGGAGCTATTACCTCTCTGCTTGTCTCGTTTTGCGTAACTGGGCTTGGCTTTCTGCCTGTTTGGGACTTGCAGGTTGTTGGTTCTTTCTTTTGTCTGTCTTTGGGAGTGACTCCAGCTTTGGGGAACTTAATAGCCTCTGCACCCTCTTTGAGGACCTGTCATGCCCAAGTGGAGGTTATTCAGTACTGTCAAAAACCTTTAAAATCTGGGGCGTCTGGGTGGCTCAGTTGGTTGAGCGTCCGACTGTTGATTTTGGCTCAGGTCATGATCTCAGGGTCCTGGGAAAGGGCTCTGCGGTGAGCGCAGAGTCGGCTTGAGATTCTCTCTCCCTCTGCTTCTCCACACACCCCCCAGCCCCCTCATGCTTTCTCTCTCTAAAATAAAATAAATAAAATCTTAAAAAAATATTTAAAATTTGAATTATATACGAGGAGGGAAAGAAGCAAATTGAGGCTAATGTAGTTGGATGGGTGGATCAACCCATAATGTCATATAAGTTACAATCCAAATTCCTTAAAGAATTAAGAACAACTGTCCTTATCTGACAGATCTTTTGCAAAATAAAAGTCAGCTCTAGAGGCAATTAAAAATTCATCCCGGGCGCTTGGGTGGCTCAGTTGGTTGAGCGACTGCCTTCGGCTCAGGTCATGATCCTGGAGTCCCGGGATCGAGTCCCGCATTGGGCTCCCTGCTCAGCGGGGAGTCTGCTTCTCCCTCTGACCCTCCCCTCTCGTGCTCTCTATCTCATTCTCTCTCTCAAATAAATAAGTAAAATCTTTAAAAAAAAAAAATTCATCCCGCTCCTTTTCCAATCCCCAAACTTCCCTTATCTGTCTCAAAAGGCTTGGAAAATTATTTGCCTTAGGGAAATAAAAGTCCTTCTTGGAAGAACTTCCATTCCTTCTGTGTCCCTTAGTTATACATCTTATCATGTCTTTGAAATTTAAATACAGCTCACAATCAGATATCTGAGACTAAGGGAGAAGAAGAAAAAGGAAGAGTCCTTTTTGAAAATACGAACTACTTGTAAGGGCACTTGTGCCTGAACTCCAGCAAGCCTCCTTAATTCCAGAGACAGAATATTACTCAGTAAGGGGCGCCTGGGTGGCTCAGTCGGTTGAGCGGCTGCCTTCGGCTCGGGTCATGGTCCCAGGGTCCTGGGATCGAGCCCCATGTCGGGCTCCCTGCTCAGCGGGGATCCTGCTTCTCCCTCTGCCTACTTGTTCTCTCTCTGTATCTCTCTGCCAAATAAATAAATAAAATCTTTAAAAAAAAAAAAAGAATATTACTCAGTAATATTGTAAGGTTTTTATATCTGTGTGTTTATGTGTTTGTTATAAATGTGAGGCATTTTTTTACCTCTGGATGGTATTGCTAAAAGTAATTTGTGAAAGAGCTCTATTTTATTTAATTTATTATGATGATGATGTTATGTTAATCACCATACATTACATCATTAGTTTTGGATGTAGGGTTCCATGATTCATCATTTGCGCATAACACCCAGTGCTCCACGTAGAATGTGCCCTCTTTAATACCCATCACCAGGCTAACCCATCCCCCCACCCCCCTCCCCTCTAGAACCCTCAGTTTGTTTCTCAGAGTCCATCGTCTCTCATGGTTCGTCTCCCCCTCCGACTTACTCCCCTTCATTCTTCCCCTCCTGCTATCTTCTTCTTCTTCTTTTTTTTTTTTAACATATAATGTATTATTTGTTTCAGAGGTACAGATCTGTGATTCAGCAGTCTTACACAATTCACAGCTAAAGAGCTCTATTTAGTTGGTTGGAAGACAAGCATTTGTAAAGCTTGGACATTCTAGAACTCTGAAAAAGATAGAAACTAACCGAAATGTTTTCCAGCTTCATGAGATCTGAGAAAATGTTTGGTATTAAAGCTAATTTAAGTTTGTTGGTTTAGGGTGCCCTGGTGGCTCAGTGGGTTAAGCGCCTGCATTCTGCTCAGATCATGATCGTGGGGTTCTGGGATTGAGCCCCACATCGGGCTCCCTGCTCAGTGGGGAGTTTGATTCTCTCTCTCCATCTGCACTTCCTCCCTGCTTGTGCTCTCTCTTTTGCTTGCTCTCTCTCTCAAGTAATAAATAAAATCTTAAAAAAAAATAAAGTCGTAGAAGGTTTGTAGAAAAGGAATCCTTGAAAAGGAATTTTAATATGTAGTCAAGCTGGCTAAGATTAAGATGAATAGATTTTAAAATAAGGTTTTTTTTTTAAAGACTTTATTTATTTGAGAGTAAGAGCTAGAGAGAGAGAGCACAAGCAGGGAAGGGAGGGAGAAGCAGACTCCCCTCTGAGCAGGGAGCCCTATGCAGGGCTTGATTCCCAGACCCCGGGATCATGATCTGAGCCAAAGGCAGACACTCAACTGACCGAGCCACCCAGGTGCCCCTAGAAATAAGTTTTAATATCAAAAGTAAGCTGGTGCAAAATTAGAATTTGGGCTTTTGGTCTGCTTAAAAGTCTTTTTGACCTGGAACATTCCAAAAGATTTGCTCAACTCGTTAGGCTTATTTGATATATCAAATTACATGAGAAGCATTGTCAAATAAGAGGTAATACTAAGGGGCGCCTGGTTGGCTCAGTCGTTAACCATCTGCCTTCGGCTCAGGTCATGATCCCAGGGGCCTGGGATGGAGCCCCGTGTCAGGCTCCCTGCTCAGCGGGAGGCCTGCTTCTCCCTCTCCCACTCCCCCTGCTTGTGTTCCCTCTCCCACTGTGTCTCTCTCTGTCAAATAAATAAATAAAATCTTTAAAAAAAAAGAAAAAAAGAGGTAATACTAAACCTTCTTCATGTTGCATTGTAAAATTGTGGCAAGTGGATTAAGTCCATTGTTCTTCTGAGGAAACAAAAAAGGAAGGCTGCCCGTTGCCAGGCTTTTGCCATACGGATGTCCTTACAACGTGACCACAGTCTGCTCCTGACTTACAAAAATGCAGGTGGGCAAACAACGCCTGTAAATGAACAGTCGGGGTTATAGGAACCCCAAGAAGGCTACTTGGTTCTCCCTGGCTCCCTGGCAAACCCCATTTTTCAGGTTTTGCGTTCTTTCACCCACCACAGTACATTTAAGATATCTCACAAACTCAAGTTACGAACAGACATCAGTGGAGAGACATTTATAAAATTGCAGAACAATCTACCAGGGATGCCTGACCTGTTAGGTCCATAATCCTGAAACAAAATGAAACAAAATAAAACTTTTTATTCCCAGAGGCCTCAGACCTCCCTCTCTCTAGACCCTTCGAACGCCTGCACCTGGACTTCATTCAACGGCCAGTTAGTAGGGGTTATCAATATGTTCTTGTTCTTGTTTGCATATTTTCTGGACGGGCTGAAGCCTTTCCCTACTGCAAAGCTGAGGTCCCCATAGTAGCAAAGAAACTGTTAAAAAGTGTGTTTCCCACTTGGGGTCTACTTCCCATGATTCCCAGGGATCGAAGCGCCATGTCACTAGACAGATTATAGGAGCCTTAACAATAACCTTGCAACATTTTTAGAATTCTAGCAGCATAGAGTGAAGCAACCTTCGGATCGTCATGAGGTTGAAGAAGCTTCCCAGATCCCTGTTCAAAGGATCCTGTCAGTCGTACTTTAGAGCCTGGTGACTAGGTATTCTGGAAGCGTCATCAGTGAAAGACAGCCCTTCTAGCTCCATTAAAAAGAGACCTTTCCTGGTGCACCTGACCGCTGACACTGCTGCAAATCTAGAAGGTGTTAAGTCCTGGGTACACATCACAAAGCAGAAGAAGGCTCTATGTGACACCTGGTCCTATACAGACCCTGAAGACCTAGAAATTAAATTGAGGAGGAAGAGAAATCGCTGACATTGCAGTAGACTGCGTCCATCCAAGACCAAGATCAAGACTTCATATTTGAACATAAAACCCTTCTTTTCCTTTCCTTTAGTCTGGCCTTAGCTTGGAAAGATAACACACTCGTTCTGTCTCACAGGCCATTGCTAAGGCTACATTTACACTGTTGAGTTAAAAGGGGTTTCATAGTTCAGGATTCACT